GCCGAGCACGAGATGGGGCCCCCAGCAGTCCAATATTTGATCATGTTTAATTCTAACAATGAAGAAGCCCCGACATCTTCAAGTGGTCCCACATCCAAAGAATGAACAAGCTACGGAATCAAATGAAAAGTAAAGAGCGAGTTAGCATTCTTCTGCATCGGCTACTTGAGTGGTCTTACAAATGGAGCTGATCCACTGTGGAATGCCGTCCACTTTGAGTTTTTTTTTCCTCTCCTTTTGAACGTCTTTGTGTCGGTTTGGGGTTAAACCAATCTCCAGCATGTCTTGGGGAGAGAAGGGGAGCTTTTGTTTAAGAAAAAGTTTTGGAACAATAGTTTCAAGGGCTTGTAATGATTGCTACTCTATTTTGTGTTTATAGTAGGGTAGTTGAGTGAGGAGGGGGGGGGGGGGGGGGAGGAGACGCTTTGATACACACAAGAAAAGCTGTTGAGACGTATGATATCGACTAGGAATGAAAATTATGTAAGAGGACGTCACAATGTCACAAAGGAGAAAGAGTGTTAATGCTATTTGAAGGTATTAGAGAGATGGATTATCACTTGGAGAGAAAGGGAGAGAGAAAGAGCATAATAGAGTGGGAGTATCAAGAAGAGAGAAAAGAGGAGATGTAAGATTGAGAACTACAGGAGAGATAGCGTAAGGGATAGAGATAAAGTAAGGGAAAGAGATAGAATACAGGAGAGAGAGATATTTATATAGTAAGGGAGAGAGAGAGAGAGAGAGAGAGGTGGGGGGGGGGGGGGTAGGAGGGAGATAGAGAAAGAAAAATGAATATAAGCTACATTGATATCTGTAATGTTTCCATATTTTGATGCACATGTTTATACACCCCCACAGTACAGTATATATTGCCATCACTGAGTTGCCATACATGTACACCTAATCAAGTGTAAGGACTTCAACCCAGGTTCATTTGGCAATGTAATTTGCACCCTCCCACCCCTGGTCCCTAGACTTCACAAATAGGCCTGTTTTCATCAGCTCGAGATTGCCAAATAACCCGCTATTTTACCTATCCGGATTGCAAATTATCCAGTTAATTTGCGTCTTCATCAGCTCGCAGTTGCAATTAGCGTGATATTTGGTCGAGATAATCATCCCAAGATATCATTGGCTTAGTTTGCGAAATATCCTGTTATTTGTCCGGTGCGTTTTCACCAGCCTGAAGACTCACAGTATGGACGAACACTGAGCAAAATATCTTGAGGTAATTTCTTGAGGTTGAGTCTCGACCTGATGAAGGCGCGATTTGTAACTTCGGGATAATTTCCCAAATCAGAAATAGCTGGCTAGGCTATTTGGTAATCTTGAGCTGATGAGGACATACCCGATCTACTGCTGATGAGCTGTGAGGCGTGCTAAATCTGAGGTAGACCCAGAGAGTGCAAAACCAAGCATCTTGAACGACCAGGGATGTTATTGTAAACCCTCCCAGCATCAGCACGCCAACCAAAATACACAGTCTCAGAACAACACGGACCATGAATAAATCCTATGGAGAGGCACATGCAAGACAAGCATGCCATACTGATGCGTTCACTATCAAAGCATGGGACAAATTCTCAAGTGCTATCTAGACATGCACCATATAGATAAAAGCGACATGAAGCGACATGAAGTGACATCACGCAAGTGTGGATGTCACCTAAAGAAAGCACTGGGAACTGCATATTTACCTGAAAAGTTGTATGCCATCATTGCCATGTAATGTGATTGAATGCTTGAATATTTACCAAAGGTCTGAAGCATGCCCCAACATGAAACCTATATGTGCTTCTGTTAAAAAAATACATTTTAGATTGTCATGAACCCTTTTTTTTGGGGGGGGGGGTGGGCAGAAATTTTGCTTAATCAAGACAATTATGGATTTGTAATAAAAAATAAAAAAATATGTATTTATAAACTTGAATCACTTTTATGACCCAAATTCAACTGAATTCTTTTTCTTTTTATAATAATTCCTCTTCAGAAACAGTTATAAAAAAGAAAAAGAATTCAGTTGAATTATTTGTTTTTCTCTCGAACTGTCATGAAATAGATCAAAATACCAATTAATGGTAGTGTATAATTGTTCAAATAATATTGATAGTGATACTTAAGGAGCTATGGTTACATTATTAAAACTAGATCTGAATTGAAATTGAAATACACCATTTCATGCCCTTTTCAAGTAAAGATGGTATTTCTGTGATTTACGATTATAGATGTAGGACAGAAATGTCTGCTATACTGACAACAAGCCTCGCCATCCTCCATTTGAAACTGTCCCATGAGTCTTATCAAGCTTCCTGCCTATCAGCTTTCAAGAGGCGTCTAATTTGTCTGTAACCGTTCCTTTCGTTTTTTAACCGTCAGGATTCCGTGATAAATTGCGCTGCAATAAATCACAGGGGGACCCTAAAATTGCAGCTTCTGCATTGAACTTTAGTTCTACTTACGAGCCATCCTCGTTACGGCACTTTGCATATTTACTTAAAGATTTTAAATACCCGGTTTAACTTCCAAGTTTGACTTCCAGTTTTCCCCCACTTTTCAAGTATCAAAGCAAGACTTTTTTCTTCTTCTATTCTGGACCTTGTTAATATGTTAGCTTGTTTCATTTTGTATGTTATTTATTAGTTTAAGATGCCTTGTGTCTTGTTAGTAAAATGCAGCTGCATTTGTCAAGTGCTTTCTTTGTCAGTCTCCTTATCTTTCAATTATGATGGATTGATGTGGTCAGAGAATATGAATGATGAGAGGGATATAGAAAGGAAAAGAAAAAGATAATCAAGAAAGGAGAGAGATGGAAAGAGTGAAAAATTAAATTGTATATTCATTCGTGCTCCATAGATCTCTGTCTGCATGCAGCCTCCCTCCCATATATTCATCGTATTCAATTCCCTTTTACATCTCTCCCTTGTTTCTCTCCTTTCTCACTTATCTTTCTCTTTTCCTTTCTATCTCTCCCATCATTCATATTCTCTCACTGTACCGATCACTTCATCATAAATCATCGGCTGCTCCCAGGAAGGCTTTTAATTTCCAATGGCAATGCATAGCTCCTACTGCCTTATTGCAAGCAGCAAAAAATATCCTCTTTTCTTTCTCCAACTATCTATGAATTTAGTTTCCCTTGAGCACCATATTTTTCTATCTATAATATTCCATTATCTTCCTTTTCCCATCCTGCTGAATATTTAAGCAACTTTTTTTAGTATCGTGTTGCACCTTAATACATCAAGTGGGTTCTTGAAACACATGTCCAATGAATTCTCCTGGCAACCGAATCCCAGACGATTGTATCCTCATTAGGCCTGTTTTCATCAGCTCGAGATTGCCAAATAGCCTGTTATTTCTGATTTTGGAAATAATCCCGAAGTTAGAAATCGCGTCTTCATCAGCTCGAGACTTGACCACTAAACTTGAACCTTGAGCTCGAGAAATTAGCTCGAGATATGTTGCTCAGTGTTCGCGCATAGTGCAAGTCTTTGGGCGGGATACTTTGCAAACTAGCCCAAGCTATCTTGGGATGATTATCTCGACCAAATATCCCGCTAATTGCAACTTCAGGCTGATGAAGACGCAAGTTAACTGGATAATTTGCGATCGGTATACCGTAGTTAAAATAGCGGAATATTTGGCTATCTTGAGCTGATGAGGACAGGCCTAAGAGAGCACCCTTTGGGAGAAGGTTCAAGCAACTGTCACACCTAAATCCTACCCTGGGCATTTCAGTGTTAGAATCTTTGAACCAGCAAACAACCCATGCTGTATAATTCAAGTTGACTAGTTCCTTGTGGTGTTATTTTACCAAAGATAATTTTTCCTGGAGTCTGCATGCCTGATGGGCTAGGGTTGCACACACAAAAAAAAACGCAGATGATGATGAAGCGGACGAAATGAGTTCTCTTGCACAGAGAGATCATGCAAAAAATGATTTGCATGAGTTCTATCTATTTTGTATTCATTTGAAATTAAAAAGAATAAATAGAAAAGTGAAATCATACTGCAGTGATATGAAGTCGTAATTATAGAAGTGATTCTCAGGGATTGAACCAAACAAATTTCAACTATAATTATGATACCACAAAAAAGAAAGATATTGAGTGGGTGATATGTCCCATGACCAAACAAAACACCCCTGCCCCCCTCAGTTTCAGATCAACCTACCAAATTTTCCATCCCACTTATCCCGCCTCTGTTATCATCGTGAACTGTGAACTGTCAATCAAGCATCGGGTCAATGGCTTCATTTTTGTTATTTTTGCTGCTCAAATATTTCTAATGGCTTCTGCAGACAAGATCAGTGTGAAAGAAGAACAGTTATACTCGGTCTGGAGAAATCATTTGTTTAGCAACTCCCCCCCCCCCCCACCCCTCCAACCCTCACCCCTCCAACCCTCACTCTTGACTTTTCAGTTTAGAGAACTTACAACGGCACTTCTGTCTGTATTGTTTATTGTTATTTCATTCATACCATAGGTTTAAACTGGTCTGTTATAAAAATTTGTCAGGTTTCCAACCTTCTTAAATACTCTAAAAAATCCCATCTCCCATACATCTTTCAATTATAATTGAAAAGTCCACCGTTTATTCCAAACTTCTAATTTCTTCAGTTTCCTTTGGGGATTTCAGTCAATGAAATTCATGAGAAATATTTTTTATATTTTACTTTATAAACCCATGCAAGCCAAGAGCTCCTGAAATACTTAGTTGAAAAATCCATACGCATTAATAATCCTGTCTGTGGCACCTAAATAAATAAGATGTTGAGATTGTGAATGAGAGTGGTCATTCCAATTAACCCCTCTCCACTCAAACATCAAGAATTGAGAGATGTCTTTCTTAGTCCCGATTGAGCCATTAAAGCGAAAGTTTTTGCTTTCCAGTGCACCTGTACCCATGCCAGCAGGTGAGGACAGGTGATGCGTCCTAGGTGTAATTACAGGACTTCCGATCTCTCCCCATGCCTCCTCATGCTGCGCTGGTAGGCTGGGATGTGCTCCCTAGGCTGGGACCAGGTGAGAGGATGCTGCTGGTGCTACCAGGGGGGCATCGTAGGAGAACATGGCCTGATCGAGGTGTCTGACTCTGCTGTAGGGGTGTCCATGGATGGTAGAATCTACATGAATTATCAATTTGAGTTATTTGAATTCATTATTATTTTTAATATTACAGTGGTAGGAAAACTTGACCTGATCTGGTGAAACGGGCACGCACTGCTTTTGAATACATGATGATGGCCATTTGATGAATGGGCTTTTGTATAGGATCACTCTGTGGGATGGTGATATTTCATTTCACATTTGATTAATTTTCTGAGTGAGATGGGTGTTGTTGTTGTTGGGCAATACAACTACATATATACTTGTTCCAAATATAGACACTGCTTTGGCCATCATGAATAGGGAAAGTGATAGCATTTAGCTTATGAATATGAAGCATAATCTCCTTCACTATGCCCAAGGCAATCTGAATGGGAAATTTGTTTTGCCCAACCCAAGGTTGACTTATTTGATTTGCTACATATGCATATTGAATCATTCATGTAATTTATTACACATTCCAGTTTTTCCCTGCTCGGTGAGTTGAATATCTTCTGATTTATCATAAATATGAAATTCATACAAAATCATTGCAGAATATGATCTGTTTTGACAGAAACCATGTTTTTTGCAACTTGATTTGTGGCATTCCGATTGATTCGTTCAATTTGTTACTCATTACTCACAACCCTGACTATCTCGTCCTTGCCTTCCAATTGAATGTGACATTCACCATTTATCTGTTGTTCTCAGTCTGTGATGTCACAGGAGATCATCTGATGACCTTGTTGTTGACCTAGGAAGGACTCCTGCGGGGCATGCTGGGAATGAGAAACCAGGGGAGATGTTCAATGATAGACACAAGATCTATAATTCTCATGGAAATATTCAATTCCAATGTGAATTGTAACACATCAGCACTATTTCAAATTCCAAATAGAATCAGTGAATATTCTATTTGAACTCTGTCACTGGGAATGTAATAAACTCGTGTAGGATGCGGTTATGAGCAGATAAGCTATACGATTCATTATTTTGTTTGCGTCCGTTTTCTTATGAGAGCTATGACTTAATACTCTTCTTGCTTGGTAGATGATTGTCAAAGTTTGATATCCATCAATGTTCTGCTTCTGAAAAGCAAGGTTTTCTCTCTGTTTGAATAATAGGCCGGGCCTGTCTCATTAGGGAATAGCAAATAGAATCTGCTTGTACTGTATTAAGCATTGAGAAAACAGACCAACTATTGCCCTCGCAGGCTTACATGATTTGATGTCTTTGGACATGTCACCATATATCCATTTCCATGTTTTTATCAGGCCAATCAGCAACACTGCTACCTCATAATAGTGTTGAAATTGTGGCTTTCACCACCCTTGTATGTGATTAAGATCTAATACTGATATAAGCCCCCAATGTTTGACTAGCTCATTCTCCGTCAACAATGGCATGGGCCTGTTTACGCGCCCACATTAGGAATTCCCTTTTGCGGAAGGCATCTTATTTTCACTTCAAACAAGCCCAAGACATTAATTGCTTTGAAATCTAGCGGAATATTTTGGTGCTGGTAGTCAGCACTGAAGATGCACATATTCAAAAGCCCTCTAGTGCGTTTACAGTAGCTTGTCTCAGTTCGCTACCTTGCAAGTCTAACCATCATTATTTTTGTGACCTTTTCATTTTCGTGCCTTTGCACGAGAATTCTAGCGCCTCTCTGCGCCCTGTCTAAGGTGTATTCTTATTCTCTGTCCCCAGGGGGACTGCAATGTATGCTTGGAAAATACAGTCGGTGGCGAAGGGGGAAATGTGTGCCCTCGACCATAATCTAATATTCAAACTTCTGCTTTTTAATTTTTACATGCCTTCTTATAGAGAATGTTGAATAATTTCATATACGGCCGACATCAAATGAAAACAGCCCAAAGCGGAAACAGATCAAGTGTTAAGCAGAAGGAAAAAAACAGTGCTCGAATCAAAGGAGGAAAGCATCGAGAAATTAAAATACAATTAGGTTTATTTATTATGCACTTGTTCCAAAAAGTGTGGTGAGAAAAGTGCAAAGGCAGGAGCGAGTAAATTCATTCTCTTTATCTTTCCCTTTGCGATCTTACGCCACCCTGTCGCTCGGTTCGGCATGTGTTGCCGTCGGCTCCTGCATGCTTGCATATTGATTAAGCAAGGAGGGAATAAGAATATTGCTGGTGGCCTGTTTATGGAAGAGTTTTATCCTTTTCCTCTGTGATATTTCTTCAACTGTATCCACCCTCCTAGGATGAATACGTTTATCTGAATTTTCATGAGCCGCTCACTCACTCTGCCTGGAAGAAAAACAGTCATCACTGAAAAACCGCCAAGTGATTATCGTTTTCTTTCTGACGGGACTAACTTGAAGTTCAACTTCAATGGAAAACTTCAGGCTTGAAAAATAAAAAGGAAAAAAGAAAGAAAGTCATGTATATAGCATAGAGGGAGGTCCTATTGTGTGTAGCTAGTGAAATTCATTTTGAAAGGTTTCGTTAATCCTCCTTATAAAAGCAAATGCAATTATAAGATTTACAATCTTTCATTAGTCGATACATTTTAAGTATATCTCAGGATTTCCTTTTGATGTATTCTGCTTGATTTAAAATTAAAGTCTTGAAAATTTGAAGGTGTGAGGATGGAGAGAAAACACTTGCAAGACTTCTTCCCTAATCACAATAGCCCGTAGGTGAGATTTAAAGATTACCTGTAATAAGTGAATTGTGCTTTGCTGTCGTAGTCGTGTCGGGAAGAGAAAAACAGGAAAGGGGGCAAAACTTCAAAGGAAATGGGAAAGAATGGCAGAAAAATGGTCCATAAATAACCCTAGGTGGAATAGATGAAGGAGAATGAAACGGGATAGCATAATTTGTTAGTATCGCAACTCCTTTTAAAACTGTTTCTTATGTATGGAACCATGTTCAAGAGTACATTTATTTGGTATTGCAGTTGATATTCTGAATCTAAAATCTTTCCACCTTCATTTTCATCCTGAATCTTAAATTTCGTCAATGCTGTTATTTTCAGTCTTTACATCAAAACTGCATCTGAAACGTACCTTGTAACCTTACTTGTTGACAATCGATTCCCAAAATCACAACGTAGAATGAATTTTGTAATAACCCCCTTTCGGAAGATCAAATTCTCTTTATCCAGGATGGTTATATTCAGTAGAGATTCAAACGCCGGGAGGCAGGCAAACTGTGATTGGAATCGATCTTGTATTTCAAAATATTTCCCCTTTGTGATTAACAAGTGGGATAACAATAATTGCCTCTGAAAACAGCAGCGAAATTGACCCTTACCATTCTAACGTCTGACTCCTGTTTCATCTCAAGTAACAGTAATTCTCAAAGTTGGTTCCAAAATTTAGCTTTTTTTAATGTCATCATTTTGTTGTTCATTTCATGCCAAATTTTGATGGTAATGGAAATGAAAGCCACTTATTTTTCAATTTAGGACAAGAGGAGATATTAAAGACTTGTTTTTTTTTATCTCCATCATAAAGCTAAATTGATATTAACATTTTAATGCTGTTCGTAAGTTTTCACTTTGTCTATTATTATCCCCTCCCCAACGATGTTGGAGGAAATATTAATGCTGCCGTCCGTCCTTCCGTCTGTAACAAATCTGGTTTCTATTCCATAACTTTAGTAATGTTTGACAGATTTTAATGAAATTTGATATGAAGGTACATGGTATCAAAATACTGCCTAAGTTTGATCTTGGATTATGTAGGTCAAAGGTCAAAAGACACAGCTCATTAAATATGCACAAATTGCTAAACATGGGCCATTTGTACCTGTGAGGGGATGCTACACTTTGCATTGACTTAGATGTAATTTTTTCATATTTCTTTTGGCTACCGTCAAACTTGTTTTCTCATCTCTGTGTATATCACTGACTCCCTGTTTCCATTTTTCACCTCAGTTTAGTCCAGTTTTAAAATTCCTCCTTTGCTGTTCATAACGTTGGTCTATACTTGGTTACTGGATGATGTTGCCGTGGATTGATAATATTTGTCTATGCATGCATCATTCATGGATAGTACATAGTGGGTGTCCATGTATACAAGAGACCCTAAACAATGTGCACTTAATCAATTACTGCCTAATCCATCCATCCCAAACAGCAATCAGTCCCATCTCTCCGAAACGGCGCTTCTCCGATGCCGCGAAAAATCAACTCCCATCCCAGACTCCTGTTGCAAGGTATTAACCCACCGCATGCAGAATGCTTTGAAATTTCAGTGATTGAGTAGGCATGGATGCAGGATATTGGGAGAGCGAGACTGGAAGGGTTAAAGGACAGCTTTCCCAGGTGACGTCAAAGATATGAGGCATGCAGAAATTTCATTAGATTTTCATTATGCTGATACGAGCTTAAGAGCCCGTAAAAGGTCTCCATACTTGCTCTCTCATTTGTAACAATTTCCCCCGTGCTCCTGGACCCGCGCTCGGGAGTAGAAGTACACCAAGCAAGGCCTGTCTAGCTTGGTTTAGCCATGTCGTGTATGAAGAGGATGATTCCTCTAATGAACTTTATGCCGTCTTCGTTAAGGACGGAGCACTTTTGCTATTTTTGCCCTAATTGGATCGGACTTGATTTATTAGATTGTGCATTTTGTGTGCCTGTTTAGAGGAAGTGGTCGATGGTTTATACTGTGTTTTGAAAGATAGTGCAAATTTTGCAAAAGCCTTAGAAGGTCTAGGCATATTGTAACATGCCCCTGTCGAAAGCTTTTGTAGCACGATGTTTACATTTTGTAAAGGTGTTCTATCAAACTGTCATTAAAATGGATGGCTGTAAATGTTGTCTACAAGAGGAAGATGGAAATTTGATATGATTAGGTGACATTGGAAAATGTTCCCCATCCTCGTAATCTTTCTGTTTAGTTCAGCAAAGTGCCCTTTTGCCCCTTCTTTTGGAAGTCTTGTCACGTCAACCTACTTGTCCTTGTCATCTTACAAACTTCCTTGTCATTCGGTGAATCCTTTGTAGACACCCTCATCTCATGTTCTGAAAGAACCTGACAAGGCCTTGATGTTGGTC